ATTTATATAATGATTACTAATTATAAACATTAAAATAATAATCATAGTGATTAAAAAAAAGGGTTCTGTTTAGAGACTTTTCACCTATTCGATATAACTATATATAAAAAATCGAGGATATAAAAATTTCTTTTTAGAGTGAGAAAAAAATTTTAAATATTGATCTTTGCATGACATGTAAAATTAGAAAAGACAAACACACTATATATAAAGATAATATATTATATAGCTATATATAGCAAAAATAATTATACTAAAATTTTAAGATTAACTATTATATTTAATATTTTTAAATGTTTTACATTTTTTGCTTTATTAATATAAGTTCTAAAATAAAATAATATAAATTATAGGATGCTGTGATTATAGTAATCTAACAGATAAATTTTTATATAATAGTTGATATTATAGAGATTAGGGTAGAGTATAGTATATGCTGTAGTAAAATTTTACAATAGTTGATATTATAGAGATTAGGGTAGAGTATAGTATATGCTGTAGTAAAATTTTACAAGAAAAATTTTTTATTAGAATATTAAAAGCTGGTTATAAGCATAATTTAAAGTGTTATTAATTTTTTTAAAAAAAACAAAAATTTAATACTACATATTTGTTTTAAAATTATCACTATTTTTTCAATTTCATATTACACATGATCTTACAATCTGATTGGTTGATAGATGGATGCATTATAAACACACATGCTAAAAAAAAAGCTATTATAAAATAAAAAAATATATATATTTAACTAGAGAAGAAATACTCTTTTTTAATTAACATTAAAATTTAGAGTTAAAATATAATTTGGACAAAGCATAGGATTAAATATTAGGGCCCAATTTTAGTAGCGTAAGGTTTTTAAGAGGATCTGAACATCTTTTATTTAACATCTATGAGGTGTGTTAGCTAGTACATTTTTGTAATATAGTTTCCTAGTGAGCTTTCTTCTAGTGAAAATTAATAATATTCATAAAATAAAAAAATAAAATAAATAAATTTTATCAAATAACACGTAATGTAACATGATCTTTAACGCCTATAGTAAATTTTAGTAACGTTATATTTTCAATAAAACTTAGACAAATATTTATTTAAGATTATATAAATATCAATAATCTAAATATAAAACATAAAATAAATAATAAATTTATTTAATTATTAATCTATAAGTTTGAAATGTACTTACCATCAGGAACTTCAACCAAACCAATAGGTTTACTTGCTAAGATTATTAATATAGAGTATTTAGTTTATATAAATAATAATAAAGATAATTTTTTGAATAAATACCTTTAATTGCACTCGATATTCTTTGAATATTGATAATTTTGCTAGTATGGATAAAATCAGGATGTTTTGAAGAGATAATTGGCAGTTTTTTTGTTATTTTATCAGCATCTATAAATTGCTTTTTAAGTTCATTCGCCTTCATTCCACTCATTGAATTTTATTAAAATTTCCTCAATGGTAGGTCATTTCAGTGGATCCGAATCCATGCATTGTTTAGCAAATTCAATATAGCAATCAGGAGTTCCAGGAGAAAACCCAGGCCGCAATCCATTAATAATCTTAATTGCAAGATCCACGTTAAATAGTTCACCATCAAAGGGCCTTTGCCCGGTTGACATCTCCGTCATGACAACTCTGAAGCCATAAATATCAGCTTCTTGCGTGTGTAGTTTTCCTTGCAGGACTTCAGGTGCAACATAAGGCATAACACCGTAAATATTTTCTGAATCATTTTCCTCTTTTCTTCTAGACAATCCCAGGTCTGAGATATAAGATCGCATAGTGTTTCTAATATCCTTATCTTGCAAAATATTACCACCATGAAAGTCCGAATGAATATAACCTGCTTTATGAATTTTGTATAAATCCAATGAAATATCTTCAAGTAATTTTAATTTAGTCTGCCATGTAATCTCTTGAAACTTCGTTTTTAAAAAATTATTAAGATTTCCTCTATTAGCGTATTGAAGTACTATCATGTATTCATTTGTTTTTGTGTTTTGAGTCAATCCATATATCTTAAGTTTGGTACCATATTTTTTGCATTTTACATGATTGTCAAACTTTATAAATTTAATAAATTTAAATTAGTCTAGTGTATTTAACGAAGTATAAAGTAAATAATAATTTTGCTTACTTCATTTAGAAAATAATGTGAGTTTTCAATAGAACTAGGAAGGGACTTGAGTACAACGACACTAGGGGTTTCACGCGATCTTATATATCGCTTAATATTGGTTTCTTTATTTTGAACTTTAATTTTTCGTATACCATCACTCCAGGTCGCAGAAAATATAACACTGAATCCTCTTTTGCCGATTAATTCAATATCTAATAATTTATCAAATGGTATCCATTCAAGCATATCTTCATATTTAGATGTTCTAAGTTGAAACTCTTTTAAGCAATCATCAACATTTTTATTTCCGCTTGCCAACTTTGAATTGTTATGTCAGGATCACATGTCTGACACCATGCTTTAAACGTGTTATCTTCATTACAATGTGCACATTTTTCATATTCTGGTTCTCTTTATTACAATTAATTGTATTATTTTTCCATATTTGTTATTTATATCGTTTATGAATTCTTAAATTTCATATATTAATTTTTACACTTACTGACTAAATTAACGCGTGATATTGTTTGACGAGTATACTCATGAATTGAATAAATACGTACTCACAGAGATCAGCAAAATAATCTTTATACTTACACACTAAATTCATTTGAGCAAAATAAAATTAAATACTCTTAATTTATTTTAAATACTTTAATGATATTGATCTACTTACCGCATAAATTAATAAAAATAATCTTTAATATTAATGAATTTGAGATTTATTTTATTTATAATAATTCATAATTTTTTATATTTACCGACTAAATCGACAAGAATAAATGAAATGAACTTGAATGACATATTTCAAATGCTTAAATAAAATTCTCTATATACCCACCCCCTACATTGACGCAAGTAAAATGTTCATGCGTTTGAATAACTTATATTAAATATATACAGTACATTAATGTTTTCTTTATACTCACCAACTAAATAAACATAAAACAAAATAAAATAATTCATGAAATGAATAGCTTACTTTGAATATTATACAATACTGTAGACTAATAAATATCATTATACTTACAAACTAATTGACATGAATAATATTATATTATTTGTGAGCTTGAATGGTGTATTTTAATCATGATTTATAAATCTTTATACTCACAGACTAAATTAATGCAAATAAAATGAATTAAATGCTTGTGAACTTAAAAAGATCATTTAAATCTTTAGATATAATTCTTTTCATACTTACTTACTACAGTAATTAAATCTACAATTTATAAACCTGATAGCTAATTTAAATCCTAAGATAAATAAATGCTTTTATACTCACGAACTAAGTTACATGATCAAAATATTTATGAAAATCAATAGCTCATTTTAAATACTTTAATTAACAAATGTTCTTATATTACCGCTAAAAAGAATTTAAATATATATAAATCAAATAACTTATTTAAATGCTTAGATTAAGGGATTTCAAAATTAAAATCAGAGTCTTATTTTATTTTTCCGATTTATAACTCAACACAGTAAAAGTGCTATTGAAAAAATTCTACATATTTCGAAATACGTCACTTATTTGTTAATTTTGAAACCCCTATTAATAGACGTTTTTTATACTTACTTACTAATGAAACATAAATGAAGTTAAATGCATCGTATGATTTAAAGTTTAACTCAATAAATGCTTTTTATACTTACTTCCTAATGTAAATCAATGAAATTTAATCATTATAAGTTTTATTAATTTATTTTAATTACAGAATTACAGATCTTTATGCTTACCAACTAAATACAAATGAAATAAACTTATAAGCTTAAATAACTTATTTTAGATTAATAAATAATCTTTATACTCACGAGCTGAATTAATCAGACAAAATAAAAATTAAAATTCATAAATAAATTTTTTTAAATACATAGCGATAAATAAAATGTGATTTATACTCACTCACTATATTAATACAAATAATTAAATTATTTACGACATAAATAGTTTATTTTAAATCATCAAATTAATAAATAAGGGTAGCTGCGCAATGTGTAATGCCGCGCAGGACCAGTACGATCATGTATAACATGTAAATTCGGACTATTCGAAAGTTATTGATAAAGGATTTCAATACTCATTAAACAAATAAAACTTAGAAATATAACGTAATTATGGTATAGTAAATGCTATATGCCCAATTATCGTACGGCCATGTTGTTACTGCCGTACCAAATTTTGATCATATTTGTACGGCTGACTTTTAAAATTCTTATCAAACAGGGCCGATAACATAATCGGGCTTTGGCCATTAAAATTATTAGACGACGTAGTGACATAATCAGGCCTTTATGTTTTAAAATTCTTATTAGGGCCGGTAACTTAACTCAGTAATTAGAACGTTTGAAATTCTCAATCGATATAACCAATAATTTAATTAGAACTTCGTTCTTCATTTTAATTGTGAGGCCAGTAACTTAAAATTTTACATTTAAAATTCTCAATTGTGGGCTAGTAACTTATGTAAATAGTTTATCGCTTTTAAAATTCTCAATTTCTGCATAAATAATTTAAGTTTATTGCTAATTAAATAAAAATCTATAATTTTAATTTAATAATTTTTTAAAGAATTTTAATAAAATTAATATTTTGCGTGCAATTTACAAATAAATTTTAATTACAAATGTTATTGCTTATGAATATGAAAATGAAAAGATACTGAAGAATTAATAAACGTGGCACCACTAAGAAGTTGTTTAAATTCTTCAATTGATTCATTCTGAGACAAGTTCATTTGTGTTGACTTATTATGTGACTGACTCTTTTGGTTCGATGCATGAAACGATGTAGACGATTCTAAATAAATAAATTAAATTAATACTGTAGTATGATTTTCTTAAAGCAAAAGTTACAGTATTATTAAAATTTTTAACCTTGATACAATGACGATGCTGATACGAAGCCTGATAATTCATTTTTATGTGTACTTGCGGCTACAAATGATTCTATCATATAAAAAAAAATAAAAATAAAAAAAATAAATTAAAATCTTAAAAAAAAAAAACAAAAAAAAAAACAAAAAAAAAACAAAAAATTACAACCATTTACTTTTTCATAATTAATCGCTTTATCTAAAGCTTTATATCCAAGTTCTTGTACATGATTAATTGGACATTCATAAGATGCTAATCCTTTTAGTGATTTATGGCGTGAAATTGACATTGTTTCATAATCAAATAATCCAAGCGCTTTTAGAATTTGAATTAAGGTTTTGCGCCCAGTTTGATTAGTAATCTTACGACCAGAAATATCGATATCACATGATATTACTAGTCATTTAAAGAATGCCTTCATCGAATTTTTCCCCAAATGCGTTTTTTCATACCAGACCTCAACAGTTTTAAAATCCTCTGTAAGATACAAAAAAAAAAAAAAATTAAAATTTTTATTAATAATTATTATTATTAAATATGATTGTTATTTACCATAATTTTTTTTTATAGGGTGAAGATAGAATTGAGGATCAGCATTAGTTGGGCGTTTGGCTATATATGTATCATATGATTCAACAATGTCAAAGATTGGTGGAATAGAAAAAGTCTCTGCTACACCAGGACTTTTAAGACTTCTTTGGTTTGTTTTTGATCAGTAAAGTTTAACTTCATAACCACCAGAATCTTTTTTTTTAAAAGAAAAAAGTTTTAATAAAAAATGCTCTCCACCACGTAGACCAAGACAAAGTGCATTAAAAAAGAAAACTCTATTTAGTAATCCTTGGGGATTAAGTCTTGACGTTTGAGAATGCGATAAAATTTGTTGAACTTTATCAATTGTTAAAGCATCAGAACCATTTGATTCACCAAACCCACTTGAAGACAATGTTTTAATTTTTCCATTTAATGTACGCCAAAGATCAGGGTGCGCCTTTTTGTCATTTAGGTCAATTGGTTTTAATTTACTTGTCTCACCATTAAAATACCGATTTAATGTATTAATTGCAGATTGAAGAGATGCGACAGAATATTCGTTACCATTAGTCTTACGGCATACAGTAAAGTATTTACAAAGCTTTTCTTCAAGTTGCTTTGGGTTTGAAATATCAGATAATTCACCAGGAAGGTTTGTATCTTTACGATAGTTCTCAAACTGTTTTGTTCAATTCAATGTAGATCTATGTATATTTTCTACTACAGACTTTTTTTGTAATGATATAACTTCTTCCGGTGTAGGCTCGATGTATGTAAATCATTTCTAAAAAAGTTTAATACATACATAAATAGTAAATAATAATATCTAGTTGTAATGATAAATAAATACAGAAATACGTTGATAGTATGTGAACCTTTTCTTTAGATACTTTGGGCATCATAAATATTTATTAAAAAAAAAGCCGCTATTTTTTAAAAATACTGACTGTCTCTATAAAAGAAAGTTATTTTGCGAAGTAGAAGAGATAATGAAAACGCGAAAAAATTTTTTTTATTTATAGCCAATCAGCTGACTTTAAAATAAGTAATGATTTTTTTTTATATGATCAAATGATTATGGCAGTAACAACTGCCGGACGATAATAACATTAAGGGTAAAAAATATTGGTATGGTGGTATGGATGTAGATTAGTGATCAGATCGAATATTTGTTAGAGGTATGTGGGCTGCGATAGCGGCCCACATACCTCTAACAAATATTCGATCTGATCACTGATCTACATCCATACCACCATACCAATATTTTTTTACCCACTATACAATAACTTATAATTACTTATAAACAAATAGTAAAAAATATTATATATAAAAACTACATAAAAATTTGTAGTCTCATAATTATATATACTAAAATTTTATTAGCCAAAACAAATCACAGATTATAATGTATTTTTTAATCAAAAAATTAACTTTTAACATTAGAATAAGAGTAAGTATTAGAACTATAATAAAAAAGACCAAATATATAGCAAAATTTTGCAAAGAATTTTTTTTGCTAAAACACAAAAAGTAGTTTTGTAGTTAAAATTTTGAGTTTTAGATGAATTTTTTAAAAAAGCTAGCAGTTTGTTTTGTTTTTATATTATATCTAATCCTGTATTATAATTGATTTAAAATTATGTGTTTGCAAATATTTTATGATCTTTTTGGCAAAAGTTTTATTTTTGATAGATCTGTGATTACTTTTTTGATAGTTGCAGATCATACTCTAAATTTAGATAGTGTTCTTAATACATCATATCCTATAAAATTTAAAATTTTTAAGAATTTAAGTAAAGATATTTAGATGTTCACCTAATCTAATTTAATAAAATTGTTTTATTTTGATTCAACTATTTTGTAAAATCAAAATAAAATTTTTATCAAATTTGGCTAGATAGTTAAGATATCTTCAGTCAAAGGTTTTAAAACATTAAAACATTTATCAAAATAATAATCACAGTAAACTTTTATAAAACTTGAAGTAATAATATCTTAGTAATTACTTAATCAAATTCAATAAATTTTTTTTAATTTTAGCTCTACAATTATGTAGAATTAAAATAAAAAAAAGAAAATTTATTAGTTTACACATAGTGTTTATACATGGGTATAATTTATTGAATTACATATTCGTGCGATATACTAATCAAAATAACTTTTACAAATAAAAAATTAAACCCTCACTTATGGGTAGAGTAAGGGTGGGTTTGGGATTAAGCAAGATATATTTATACCAAAATTTCACAAGGAATTTTTTTTGTTAGGAGCCAAAAAATGGGTTCATAATCAAAATTTTGAGATATCTATATTGCCTGTGTATATATACCCTGTATACAAATAGAAATTGCCAAAAAAAATATTAAATTGGTTAGGTGGTTACTAAAATATTATTACTCAAAGTTTTGAAAAACTTAAAGTATCTATCAAAATTATAATTGTGACAAAATTTTTATAAAAATTAAAGCAAAGATATCTTAATAACTACCTAATCAAATTCGATAAAGATTTTTATTTTGGTTTTACAGTTCTGTAAAATTAAAATAAAAAAAATTCATTGAATTTGGCTAGATAGTTGTTGAGATATTATTACTCAAAGTTTTGAAAATATTAAATATCTATCAAAATGATAGCTATAGCAAAATTTGTACAAAAACTTTGAGCAAAGTTTTCTTAGCAACCACCTAGCCAAATTTGATGATTTTTTTTATTTTGGCTCTACAGTTTTGTAGAATCAAAATAAAAAAATTAACGAATTTGGCTGGTAGTTGAGATATTATCACTCAAAGTTTTGAAAATATTAAAATATCTATCAAAATAATAGTTGTGGCAAAATTTGTATAAAATTTTGAATAAAATTATCTCATCAACCATCTAATTAAATTTGATGAATTTTTTTATTTTGATTCTATAAAATAGTCAAATTAAAATAAAAAAAATTATTAAATTAAGTCAAATAACTTTTTTTGATATTAAAGTGAGGCCTTGCTCATATCTTTATTAATAGTTTTTATTATAGTAACTACAAGAAGTTGCTAATCTTAATATATAAAATATAAAAAGTAAAAACTATATGCAAG